TACACTCCCAACGTCACATTGAAGGCACTTTAAGCTTGCTACTACCCTTAGGTAAGCTTCCCTCACATCTCCCTCTCCCTTTTATGCAAATTTTGATGCTTTTGGGTATGGTTGAGGCTTGGATTCAGTTTTTCTTAGGTAATGACTAAACATATTAATTTAGTTAAGGTATTGAAGAGTTAAATCAAGCCTTTAACCTAGGTTTTGGATTTTTATGATAATTTAGAATTTTTTAACTAGGGTGGTTTAAATGAACCTTATGTGATAATTGAGGTTTGGAGACAATATGGATAGTTGGTTGATGATTTTTGGCATGTTGGGATGTTAAATAGGATTGTTAGAGTGTTTTGAAGGGTTAATGTTATTAAATAAGGAATTTGAGAGTTATGAGTACTTAGAACATAATGAATTCAGGGTTTATTTGGAGTGATAATTGATAATTATCACTAAATAATGTAGATTGAGTGTCCTCAAGCCTTATCCATACATAGAGAATGTGTGAAGCTAACGTTGAACTCCGGTAATCCTTTTATGGACAAGGGTTGAGGTAATGAAATAATTTATAATATTTAATTATATTACTTAACTGTCTGTGAATAGATATGTAAATTTTTTATTTTTTTACTTACAATTTGAAAGCATTACATATTTCAAAATATGATTTATGCATGTGAAACAATTTCCAAACTATAAGATTGTGAAGTCTTATACAAAATTAAAATTAATGAGAAATGTGTGAATATGATCAGGATAGAGGGTGGGAGTTTACCTGTAGAAAAGGAGTAGTGGAAGTCCATATGGCATGTATTCCTAGTGCCTAGTGAGGCACGATGTTGGAAAATATCTACTTAGTATCCAAGTGAGATATAGTATTGGAGATTAACGTCCTTAGCACAGAGATGCAGTGTTAAAATAACGACATCCCATTTATGTGCAATAGGAAGAGACTATAGTCTAAAAGTGGGATAGGACACCTTTAGCTGGGTGATCTTACCACCGAAAGTAAGCTCAACGCCATCATAAATGTGCACTCCGTCCAAGAGCTTTGGTTTCAGTCAGGGTGTGATATGGAGGCTCGGATGGTAGAATGATCATGCTAGTGGTAATTAACTTGTGCTCATGGAAGTATATGGTTGAATATGTTTAAAAAGAGTAATTTTGAAGTATATAGCTTTACTTGCTTGTGGTTTACATGTTAATTGATAGTAATGAATTATTGTTACTGAGATGTTTATCTCACCTCGTGGTTATATTTTATAAGTGAGAGCTCTCGTAGGGGAAAGGGGAAGGAAAAGGTGATCGAAGAGTGAAGAGCTCATTTGTATAGCTCTTCTTCCTTATCATTTGTTTTTTTGTAATGAACATTTTAAATATTGTACCAACTTAAGAATATTTAATTGTTTTGGTAATCACTTTTATGAATTCATAGAATGTGTACGTATCTCGACCTAAGCTTATAGTGATTGTAATTAAATGTGTGTAAAAGGTCAAGATATTAATACAAGTGATAAGATTGAGATGTTCATGTGTTGACAAGGTTAAAATGATTACTATGTTAAATTTGATCTATCCCTTTGCATTGTCGAGAATTGGGGGTTTAGTGGTTATTTTGTATGTAAAAGGTTATTTGTGTGATATGATTAGCGTCATATGTTATGTGTGGTTCATTTGAGTTGGTCAAAAGGGTTTTGGAGCTAATGGCACTAGGTTGTGGGTTTGGATACCATTGAGTGTGTTTTGTAATGAAAATGGATCACTTTAGGTTTAGGTGTCTATTTTTTTAACATTTGAGAATTTGGGGGTGAGGCCAGTACTATTAATTATAGGGCTCGAAGAGCTTCGTGTAGACACTTAAATCGCTCAAATCAAATGTTGGATGGTGATGAAACAGCACGCTTCAAAAATTTGAAATACTGTCATGACAATAGGAGTGTGCCACAACAGAATTCATATCGAGGGAATCATCCCTCTATGCCATCCACCATGATGGGTATGGCTTGTGCCACAGCGAACAATGGAAATTTTAGAATTTTCTACATTGCTTCTTTTTTGTTTTTTAAATATTGATTTGTGTTTTCATGCTTCCCTTATTGTTTTTGATTTACTTTAAATTAATTTGAGCTTAAATCACTTTTAAAAAAGGGTAATTTAGGATTCTAAGTCTTAAATTAACTACTTTTAAACTCTTGGGTTATAATACATTTTTATTTAAGATTTTAATTAATCCGATTATCACATAATGTGTGTTAGAATGTTATCTTGACAATGTCAAGGGAAAACATACAGCCCATGGCAATAAAATCAGGATCAACCGAGACTAAGATTGAATAAAATTGAAACAAAAGGCAAACATTTCAATATGATAACCAACCTAAATTGGGAACAAAACCCAAATCAAGAACGTGACCCATATTTGAGCACACACAGATTGTTGAACAAACTCCCTTTCACTCTTCCTCTTAGAATCAAATCCCTACCCATAATGTCGAAATCATGTTGAATCCCCACTCTGCCTGTTCTTCTTCCTCTTCAAAACCCACCTAGTGTCTTCCTATGGTCTCCCTTACCGTGGGTTCATGGGCTTGACTTTCTCCTCCTCCTCCTCTTTCCTCCTCATCCTTTCTATTCATGATCTTCATGAGTTGAAGGGGTAATGGGAAAAGGTGCGATAGAGGATGTGAATTTGGTGTTCAGATGTGGGTATTTGAGATTTAGAGGCATTCGACAGATGAGAAAATGGGTTGCTAAAATTCCATAAAGTTTGAAAAACTTTTGCTGACGTTGCAATGGAGGGTGTGCATGTGTCCAGATGGAAGAGGGGATAGGTCTAAATGAGGAAGACGAAAGACGTACCAAAATTTTTTATTATTCTTTCTATTTTTTTCACTAAGTAGATTTATTCAAAATGAAAAAAAAAAAAGTGATTAGAATGCTTTCTAAGAATTCCACATAAGCATGACAAGTCAAATTAATGTTCAATATTATGATTCAATCAACTCAGGGCAATATTACACTATTTTTTAAATATCGAGGTGCAACGTTATCTTTTTAAATACTTTACAATTTACAATGCCAATGGTCTCTGAAAATACTTTCAGAACATGGAAATGATATCTTTAGGCCTAATAATTATTTTTAATTATTAATTAATGTACGGCAGAGGATCATGCTACATCACCGGGCACGTCGTCACTCCACCAGACGATCCAAAGTCACCTGCTGGGGAGGCCATCTACAAATAAGGCATCACCTTGCCCGCTCAAAAGGAGTGAGTGTTGGGCCCGATTGTGCTTGTTTTCGAGCTCTGTATTCTAATGGCTAAGCCTCGCAAGCCGAAGAACGAAGATCCCAAGCCCGAGAATTCTGGTGCTGTAGTTCACCACCAAAAGCTCTGCCTCTCCATCGACATGGACAAGCGTCTTGTCTACGGGTTCGTGTTTCACATTTCGTGTTTTATTGCTCTCCTTGTTTCATTAAGTTTACCTTTCTAGGTACAGTGGCGCGCAATTGGTATCTGCCTTGCGGGAAGTTTGTAAATTAGGTGTCATTGGTTTAAAGCCTGCGATGGAGTATTATCTAAATCCGTATTGTGAGGGGAGGTTTTGACCCGGGGATTTTACAGGTACACTGAATTGGAAATGCCGTGCCCGAGATTGGGATTGTTGGCCTGCACGCGGAGAATATAGGCATCGAAAATGTCTTGGTTGATGGCGAGCCGGCGGAGTTTGAGTATTATCCGCATCATCAGCAACAAGTGGAGAATGATAAGAGATGGAGCTCTGCGTTTTCTCCTAGCTCGGCTGCAGATGTTGCAGGGTCGGTTATTTGTCTGCGCTAGAAAAGGAGCTGGTGCCAAATTTGCTAATCAATTGCTGTAAACCTTTTAAGACTGATAGTGAACAGCAGGAGCAGCCCGTTTCCGAAAACGGGTTTCATTCTTCTGGAGAGGACAAGCAGGTTTTTTTTTTCCTTTCTCGACTTATGTTATCTATCTATATTTTGGATGCTTCACAATTTTTTTTATACAATCTCCTGCTTAGGTCTGTCTCATGAAGATGTTGCATTTGTTTGCTTTTAGAGAATCACAGAGCATTGATTCTTCGGATTTTACTCAGCGTTCTAACATGCATCAAATTTCTGTTAAAAAGAAGAAAGTTCGCATATGGTTAAGTTCTGTGTAAATTGGGCTCATAGGATAGCAGATAAGAGGATAATGTTACAAGTGCTAGTTAATTATGCATATTTACTTAATTTTGCATGTAAAAAAAAAATGCACGGAGATTATATTTATCAAATACTGGAAAATTATTGTGTCTGTCATTAGTGTTTAATTAGCATCAATCTTGATGTATTATGGGCAGAATGGGCAAAATGAGTTGCTGTGATGAGGTTTATTATTTCTGTTTTCTCATGTAGGTTGATGTTGGATCTTGGGTGCAGAATTTAAGGTTTGTTAGAATTGATTATTGGATAGACAAGGCGGAAACAGGGATCCACTTCAAAGATAGTGTTCTTCTTACTGATAACCAGATAAGGAGAGCAAGATGTTGGTTTCCTTGCATAGATAACAATTCACAGCAATGTTGGTATGAACTGTTCAGCACTCCTATGTTTGTTTGTGTTATTACCTGTCTGCATTTTGAATATAATAATATTATTTACCATTTATAATTACTTCATGATCTTACAATCCTTATTATTTTTATTTCAATGTTCAGTTATGATCTGGAGTTCACAGTTGCTCACAATCTTGTGGCTGTCAGTGCAGGAAGCTTGCTATACCAGGTAATAATGATATGTGTGTGTGTGTGTGTGTGTGTGTGTGTGTGTGTGTTAATTATTGCTGATGCTGAAAGCATGTGCAATACTATTTTGAGCAACCAAATATTGTTTGCACATTAAATTCTTGAATTGCTTGTATATGTACTACCTTCCTGCTAAATATGTCAAAATTGTATTTCCAACTACAGTGTCATTGGAAAACGTTTAGTAAGAAATATGCTTGTGGCTTTAGCCCGAGGTGGGAAATGATGGGGAGGATTTTATAGGATTTGTCACTTTTCAATTGTAGGACTAGGCTTTTGACTTATTTGCTGATATCTAGAATTGTAGAAAGAACTAATCTTTATAATGGGCAAATGCTAATATATGTAAAATTGCTTATCAATTGAAAAAGGGAAGAATGTATTAAAAATTTTGTATGCGTACTCCTTGATAATTTTCATTAAGTGGGTACCCATGTATATGTAAATGACCAAAATCAAGAAGAGATTAGTTGAGATCTTTCATCTTCGGCATCAATACTCCTGCATGAGCCAACTGTATTGGAGAAGTCCATGGGCATGTTTGCCAACTTACATTACATCCCCAGCTCCCCATTTTCTTTATGCTCTATTTGGATGGAGAGAAAATATGAGAGGAAAGAAAACATGGGAGGAAAATAGAAGAGAAAATGAATTTTACCTTGTTTGGATGAGGAGCAAAAAGTGTGAGGAAAGGAAAGTAAGGGAGAAAATGGGGTGAGGGACCCACCACATTTTCTTTCCAACTTTTCTTCCCACGAGTGGAGAGACTTTGGAAGGAAAAATTTTTTCCCACCATTTGCCCTCATCACTCCCTCTTCCCTCTTATATGTTTTCTATATTTTTCATTTTTGCATTTTGACTTAGGTAGCAGCTTCTTCTTTGGCATGTTCTTCATTTCTTCCAGTGGTTTCGATTTCGCTTCTATATATTTTTCTTTATGGATTTTGTTTAAATGATTAACTATTGTCCTCTTTGAACATATGGTAAAAACTTGAATGGGTTAGGTGCAAAAAAGAACTTAAAAAAAAAAAAACACAATATAAGACAAACCTGGGAGCAAAATAAGAAATGTGATGGCATAATTATAAGCGAGAATCATGTTGAGGTCCCAAACTAAGGCTTGGCCGTAGTTCAGTTGTCAATGAACCTTATAGTAATTAATTTTCTTATCTGGAACCTATATGTAATTCTCCCTAATTATAATACCAGAGAAAATTGCACTATTAAGAAGAAAACAAGTGTCAAAATATAAAAAATAAGCTATTTAAGATTATGTATAATATATATTTTTATGTCAAACAAAGTATCAACTTTTGAATTTTTAAATGTAAAAATAACATATTTTTATTAAATTATCTGGTTTTAAAATATAATAATATTAAAATACATTTTTAACAACTAATTTGATTCTAAATTAATTTGATTATGTTTATTTTGATATAATTTTTGCTTTCAATTTATTTTTACAGAGATAATTACACGAAACATGATATATTTTGACATAAGGATATTATAGTCATGAGACTTGTTCATTTTCTTTCCTCCTGTTTTCTCCTTTCCATCCAAATACAAGAAGTGATAACATTTTCTTTACAGTTTTCTCTTCTTTCTATTTTCTCTCCTTCCATTTTTTTTCCTCTTATTTTTTTCTCCATCCAAATGAAGGGTTAGTAATCTGAGAGTGTCTATGGACCATTCCCTTGAAGATTTAAAAGCCTCTGAATCTGTAACTTTTAAACTCCTTGCTTAAGACACCTTTAAGATGATATTTTTCTACCTCATGGTTTCTTGTGATAATTATAGCATTTACATAAACTAACAGTAACATCAATAACAACAAAAGGTCTTACCCCCTTACTAGGGCTAAAGACCTAGTAAAGACCACCTTCTCAACTTTCCTCAAACCTTATTGACAAGTCTAGCAACCTTCTATGCATATGTTTGAAATATTTTAATTGATTTTCTACCATTTTTTCTCTTATACGTACCATACCAATTTTTCTTTGCATACAATCATTTGAGTTTGCCATTTTTTTATATGTGCTCATCCATTTCAACATTCTTTTCTTTATTACCTCTATTTTTTTGTATTGTTGCCAAAACCCATGCTTGGGGCCCACATTGTGAGCAAAAAATAGCAGTCTTGCTTGAACATACAAGCAAGGCCCACATTGCAAGAAAGGTTTATTGGTAACTAGCATGACATTATTCAACTCATACTACATGAAACATATCGTATGACAAGCCATACACATAATTAAGTGTGATCTAAATCTTGCTTTGTCAATCACAACATGCTAAGCTTTCAACCATTGTAAAAGTGCCCAACATACATCACAACAAATCCCTTACAAACCAAACACCAATTTAGCCATATGTTTATCACAATTACAACCACAAATAGGAATTTTCATAATCCAATTAGATATTTTCATAATCTAGGTTGTTCAAAATATTAATAATATAGTTCTTAGCTATATACAACTTATGCCCCATTTGGTACATAGGAAATGATTTTGATAGAAATGGATATGGAAGTGGGATTTAAAAATAGTTTGATATGTTGATGGAATTGAAATATTGTTTTTATTCAATATTAATGTTTAAAATATGAAAAGACTAGAGTACCCTTATACAAAAAAAAGAAAGAAAAAATTTGCCCAACCCAGCTCGAAGGAGAGACTATTAGGAACCACTACAATCATGAAACCAAAGAAGAAGATCCAAGCAAATGAGAAATTAGCCATAGCATCGACAATCTTCAAACTAGAAATCAAATGCAATATACAAAAATCGCGAAGGAGAAGCATAAATCAAGAATGTGTCACTAAGCTTCAGTAGATGCAGTGAAGAAGAAGAAATCATGAAAACAACGAATTAGAAGGTAGAAGAGATTTTGTATCATTGTCAAAGGTGAAGCTCATAAATTGTTGGAAGTTATTGGAAATCGATCATTTCCCATTGAAGAGCCCAGATCTAGAAGAAGATTGTTGTTGTCTACAAGGGAGAAGGAGATTGTTGTTGCCAAGAAAGAGGAAGCAACAACACATCATTGCTGAGAAAGTCACTGGAAGTGGAAAAGATTTCGTCGTGATTTAGGTCGCTAGAGGTCGTTGACAGGAGGTTGCCGTCATTTAAGTTGCTAGACGAGAGAGGAAGGGTAAAAAATGAAACTGGTAAGATGGAATTTGAAAGCTGAACTTTTTGGATAGAACCCAATTCCATCAATTTTGATGGAAATGGCTTCCATGTGAAGTCCAATTCAATCTCATTTTAACCAACTAAACATGAAAAATTTTCAATTCCAATTCCATATCCATTTCCACCCTCCTAGTTCCATCATACAAGCGGGCCCTTAAGATACTCATAACTTGGTAACTCTAAATTTCATACTTTATCATTAAAAACTTACCCAATATTATCAAAAGCTATACAGAGTCAAATGAAGTGTCTCTAATTGAAGAACTTAGAAAAAATGCACTTATGGGCTTGGGGTTCAAACATCCTCCCATGGTCATTATGAGCAAACATAAGGAAAAACTTTGAGGTAAGTATGGAATCCCATGGTTTTAGACGTCATTCAATTTATCAAATATGCTAAGGGTTAGGGTCATTATTTGTGAGTAAAATGGATCTAGCAACCTCAACGAAGTGTCTCTTTTTTTCTTTTTCAACATCATTCTGTTCAGGTCTATTAACATGTGAGGTTTAATGAATAATGCCTTGGTTTGGGCAATGATCAAAGGTTTGACTTTGGCATTCCTTAGCATTGTTACTCCTTAGAATTTGGACTTGGGCATGAAATTGATTCTATATGAGCAAATGGCTGCTTTTGAAACTTGAAAAAACTAATTTTTCTTTCATGTATACCTATATGAACCTTGTATGATTAACGATGAATGTTAAAACCATATAGCATTGTTTTGGGGTTTTTACTCTTGATGGGCCCTAAATATACCCGATGGTGTGGTTTGGCTGATTCATGTGGTCATGGTAAATGAGAACTTTTGGGTGCTTATTGATTCATGGGTTTTTTACTCTTGATTGGCAGCATTCACACTAAAAAAGCAATATTACTTTTATTGCAAAGAGTTGTGTGCAAATTCTTCATATATGATATATTAGGGTGGCCTAACCTATAGTGCCACAATATATCCTCATAATTTGAAAGAAAAAGAAAGTGGTAATAGCATTCTTTGTTTAAGATCTTTTGATGTAGTATAATCCATCAAATTCCCAGCCGTTGCCATACTTCTTCCCTAACTCTAAATCTTGAAAAATACAATCATAAAAATCAGTAACACATTTATGTTCGTTTGTGAATTTATTGACAAGAGATTACTACCCAACCCAAAGACAAATAAAAACGCCACTAGAAACTAAAATTTTTGCAACTATTAGAATACCAATTCCATGGATTTTTGCAACTTGTCTTTTTGTTGCTTTGACATTTCTATCATCAAAACTCTACTGATTATTATTGATTAGAGTAACATTACCAATCTTCTTGTTTATTATCCTTGACTACACAATCCAAGTTTTTTTTTTTGAAGAATATAGTCCTAAGTGCATTATGTGTATTATATGATTAGGCCAAATTGCTTGCACTAGTAGCCTTTTCTTTCCTTTGTCGAGAATTTTAATTCTTAGCAATTCCAACCCTTCCATGCTTATTTATGAGCCTTCTCCCTTAGGCCACTCATTACCAACTGCAACACAACCCTTGGTTGTATATATGATTTGGAATTTTATTTGAAATTAGGTATTTTTCCATTGAGTTTCTAGCATGTCTCCTTTATGTGACCATTCTTTTAGGAATGATCACGCTAAGGCTTCCTAAGCTTTTTTTTAGATCAACAACGACAACAACAACAAGCCTTTATCCCACTAGGTGGGGTCGGCTACATGGATTGCAAGACGCCATTGTGCTCTATCATTTATTAAGCTTTTAGAAATATTATTAATTAAGAGATCACGTTCAACAACTTCCAAGAGTGTTCTCTTAGGCCTTCCTCTACCTCTCTTAATCGGACTCAAAGTTATATGTTCCTCTACCACTCCATTTTTTTTAGATCCTTGTCCAAAATTTTCTTTCGCAATCAAAGCATAAGGTTCTATAGACAAAGTGCATTTTGAGTGCCGAGGACTAACAATTTTTAGCTTCCCCCCCTTCAAAATTTGATTAAATTAAAGGCCTCATAGACAATTGAAAGGGGACATGAGAACAGTATCTTGCCTTTCTTCTTCAAAAATAGGATTCAATCCTTGTAAGAATTTGGACACCCTTTCTCTCCATAATTCTCTTATAACAAATCCTGTCATCACAAAATGCCCATTGATAAGGATTATAGGGTTAGAGATTATTTTCCTAACTCCCCTCATTGACATCTTTTGTGGCCTTTGCATGTGTCTAAAGTCCAAATCATCTTAATTGATATTTAACTATTTTTCCTTGATAGTTGCCCGAACAACTTTTCTTCATTTACAACTATTTTGTATCTTGTTTTTTTTTCTTGTATGATCGCCTATCCATCTTAACAATCCTATTTATTTTGACATATTCTCTTTTATTTTTAATATGGTACAAGAGTCATACTCCAATGAGCTTGCTTCAATACATGCCAACTAAAACCTTCATGAATATTGAATCATGTCTTCACTGAGGTATCTCACTTGTCTATACTATAGTAACAATCCTACTCTACTACACCTCCATCTTCCTCTCACTCACATAAGGCTTAAAAAATGTAAAGTGCAAGGTTTTTTATGCTTAAACTTTGAAAAGGAATTGGCATCATTCTTTTTTGTTGATACAAGGAACATCAGTGGCAACTGATACCAAAAACATAATTCTAAGACTCTAAGAAGAGAAAGAGTTGAACAATTCAAAAATGCTAATGAGTAAAGAAGAAGAAGAAATGATAGAGGGTGAGTGAAACTTCCTAGTGCTCTTATCTAATTTCCTTTGACTATTTGGATATTTTAGATTTGTCTTTTTTTGATAAATTTGATGATATAATGAAATAATGGTTGAAGAGATTCAAGTGGTTTTTACATTGTTGAGATCAAATAACCTCTTGTCATATTTAGGAGGTTGTCATCATGACCCATCCTCTTCTTGAGATCACCTTTGATGTCAAGATGTTTTGCTCATCAAAGAATATCACAACAAGCAATGATAATGGTTAAGTAGCTTGAGTTAGTCCAAATCTTTATTGTGTTCATCCAAAACTCCATCACTCAAGCTCTCAATCTTATTTTTCTTTTTCCCCTTTTTTTAATATTGTTTAGGAAGGCTTGTAAAGAAGGGTAGAGGAAGGCCAAAGAGAGCACATTTAAAAGTTGTTGATCGAGAGCTTTTAATTAACAATATTTCTAAAAGCTTGATAAATGATAGAGCACAATAGCATCATATAATCCATGTAGCTGACCTCACTTAGTGGGATAAGGCTTGTTATTGTTGTTTAATATTGTTTTGCTTCTGCATTTGAGAAATTCTTGACTGGTTTTCCTTTTCACTAGTTTACCACTTCTTCCTAACCAAACAAGGGGTTGGTTTGCTAGTCTTCCAATTGAATCAATGAGTTTGGTCTAGTTTTGTTTACAATTTTAGTGCATTGGACTATAAGTTGGGGGCTTGGAACTAGGAATTTGATGCATGTGAGTTGATAACAATATAGGTGAAAATTTGCTAGATTTGGTTTTTATATATTGGAAACATCAATAACCACAACAAGCCTTATCCTATTAAGTGAGGTCAGTTGTATGGATTGCACGATGCCAATGTGCTTTTAGAAACATTATTAAATTAAGAGGTCTCATTTAACAACTTCTATAAGTGTTCTCTTTAGCTTTCCTCTACCCCTCCCTCTCTATAGGGCTTAAGGCTATCTGTTCCATTGTCCTTATCAATGCTATCCATGACCTTCTTTGTACGTATTTAAACATCTCGAATGATTTTCTACCATTTTTCCCACAATAGATACTTCGTCTAATTTTTCTTGTATATGCTCATTTCATATTTTATATTTTTATATACGCTTGCATGTTCATCATAACATTCTCATCTCTGCTACTCCAACTTTATACTTTTACTGTCCCTTTAATGCCCAACACTTACTAACATATAACATGGCTAGTCTTATAGCAGTTTAATAAAATTTCCCTTTAAGTTTATTGGGCAACTTTTGATCACAAATAACACTTTTAGCTTTTCTCCATTTACACCACTTAGCTTGTATCTTATGTGCAACATTGCCATTAATTTCCTCATCATGTTGAATAGTTGCTCCTAAATGTCTAAATTTTTTTCACTTGTGGTATGGTTTGATTTCTCAATCTCACTTCCAAATTACTATTAATTGATCTTTTATCAAATTGCAATGTAAATATTCTGTTTTACTCCCACTCAAGCAGAAATCCTTCAACTCCAATGTCCTCCTCCATAACTCAAGTTTGTGGTTAATCTTTTCTTTTGACTATTACTAGAGTGAAAGAAATCATGAATTCTCCAATAAGCTTTATGATTATGTAGTTCTTATAGTTTGGTGGATCTTTTGAGACTTATTATTAGAATATGCCATATAGGTTTTTATTTGGGATTTTGTGGGCAAGTTTTTGTCCTAGAAGTTTTGATCATTTCAGCACATGGCATGACTTAAGTATGTGTTTAATTACTTTAATTCTAGTGTCTTGTTGTAACAATTTGGCACAAGAATCCATTTTTCTCTCTATATTTAAAGCATGATGTGTTTACTTGTCTTTAGGCAGGGATGCACATTGAAATCAGGGATGGAAACAAATTTTAGATCATGGGTTCTATAAAAGGGATTAGCCAAGCTAAGAGACTGTTAAAGTGAATAGTGTTGTACTTCATAATTTTCTTATCTAGATTTTTAATGTTATTATTTACAGTTCTTCTGGTTGTAGTCCAAGAGATGTTTTAGTTACCATTAATAATTAATTTTTTTTTTTAGGTTTTAAGCAAGGATAATCCTCCTCGGAAGACATATGTCTATAAATTGGATGTTCCTGTTGCTGCTAGGTGGATATCTCTGGTTGTTGCCCCATTTCAAATTCTTCCAGACAACCAAGTTGGTCAAGTATCTCATATATGTTTGTTACCTAATCTTTCAAAGCTTCAGTATACTGTGGATTTTTTCCATAGCATATTCAGGTTTGACATATTTTAATTGGTATTTTTTGTGCTTGCAACCGTTTGCTTAACTAAAAACTGTATGTAATTGATTTTATTTTGTTGGAATGCAGTTGTTATAAGGATTACCTTTCTGGAGACTTCCCATTTGACTCGTACAAGCAAGTTTTCATAGAGCCAGAGATGGCAGTTTCTTCATTGAGTTTAGGAGCTTCTACTAGTATATTTAGTTCTCAAGTTTTGTTTGATGAAAAAGTTATTGATCAGGTCAGCTCATTATTCGATTGTGTTTGAAATTTGTTTCAATCAGATTTTTTTTACTATTTTTTGAGTCATCAGTATGACATGTATGTTGAAGGATGGGGAAGCCATTGTTGTGAAAATAATCATGCCAGTCAATGGAAAGAATATCATGTCTGGACTTCTTTTTGATGTACCTATGACTTATACAATGATTATTCGGAAGACTTAATATAAGATGCCTAAGTTCCAAATTGAGTCATATGAGATGCATGAGGTATTTAAGTTGTGTGGTTAAAATATTGAGTAGTAGAGGATGCGAGAATCGCATCACTTAAATACCCATGTGGGAAATTCAAAATATCTAGTAATATCATGTTTTTAAATTGATTTCATTGATTGACCATGCTGTACTTAGTTTGCGAAGCTTGTGTGTAAAAGGTGGTTAAATAGATATAATCTGACCTCTTGTTTCGAATTAAATGGGATCTTTTTTTTTTTTTTTCCTTTTTTAATTTGAATTCATCTGAGATTTTGGGTGCAGGCTTATGCGTTACCCATGGCTTCTCTAATGCCAATTCTTTTAATATGCTTGGTCCGTAAGTTGAGTTTTGAAGTGGTTTGTTGGGATCAATGTGTTAATTGATGGTTATTACTTATTAACACTTTCTTTCTCAACATTTAATTACTGTGTTTTCTCTGCCACCAGTTATGTGTTTAGCTGCATGATGATATTTTTCATGCTTTCAGTTTGAAGTGAAGTTTGAACTGTCTTCATGTTTAATTGGTTCATTTAACTATGTTTCTTTCACGTGAGAAATTTTTAGCAGATAATTTACTTGCTTCTTTGGCTTTATGTTGATCAGTAGCTTTTGTTGTGACAGACTATTGATACAAGGATAAAACTTGCATATGCCCTTGCAAGGCAGTGGTTTGGTGTGTATATAACCCCTGAGGCAGAAACTGATGGTAATTTAGTGCAGTATCTTCCTTTTCTTCTTATAAAAATGACACAGAAAATAAGAGGAGTTTGGAGAAGTAGTCTGCGTATTCCGATCCACTTCCTGTGAGACAGAATTGATGAGTAATAATTACAATAAATATATTCTGATTCTTCTAATTGCAATCCATTCAGCCCTAATCTCATACAATAAATATAATATTCATTCTGATTCTCAACACTTATGTTTAAGTTTTACAGAAATTATATTTCCATTAACACAATTTATATATGCATGCTATAGAGTGGCTCTTGGAAGGGCTTGCTGGTTTTTTGACAGACTTTTATGTGAAGAAACACCTGGGAAATAATGAGGCTCGGTATCGAAGATACAAGGTTGGTATTCTATTTGGGCTAGCATAGGAATAAGTTAATTTAGATGGGGTTATACTGTTGAAGATTTAATATTATTATGCATCTATGTCAATCCACTTATTTTTATTTATTTGCTTTGCTTTAATTAAGGCTTATAGTTTTGACATTATTTTTTGGATAACGTTACTTAATCTTTTAGGATTACCTCAAAGATGGTTCCAGGTGTGTGCACTTCCAACACACCTGCGAAGGAAAGAAGATTACTGAAAAGAAAATCTATTTACTTTTAATGGCTACAAGGCAAAACAAGGACAGGATAATTGAGATTTCTGGAATTAGATTGTTGCTACAGATCTGGTCTTAATGGGAGAGATAAATTGGGTAAAAATATAAGATAGAGATCTTGAAGTAAATCTGATTTTTATTTCATTAATCTGATACAAGACAATTGCATGAATAGGCAGAGATCCAAAAATAACAACTACCTAACTACTTAAATAATGAATGAAAGACAATATCATGGTAGAGATAGCATATCTTTCAAACACAAATCAATAGAGCCAGAAAACTCTACCATTTCTTGGTGAATCATGGCAGATGATGACAACCATGCTACCTCATATGTTGATGTGTAGGACGAACTATAGCAGAACATGGAGATTTGTGGAGACTTCGGTGGTTGTTGTATTTGGGATTTTTAATGATTTTGGCCTTTTGAGTTGCACCAAAATAAGAGGTCTAGCTTCTAAACATAAAAATAAGTTTTTCTTTTGTGTAGTTACTTCATGAGAGGCTTTTTGTTCTCAAATGGTGGCCATATTTTTGGCCAAATTTTGAGTAATCTAAGAATGCTAGCATTGTGTGAAGATGTATTCTAGTGACAATAGTGAAATTGATTTCGTCAACACACAAAAGATTATGAGGATCTTAAGATGTAAAATATAGCTAGAATCTTCAAAGAAAAGAGTTGATATTTGCTAACTAGGTGGATTCCACCACAAGTAAGATGGATTGGAGTTGATGTAGATGGATCTATGGATCTAAAAGGAGAAGCTCCTTGTGAAAATCTAGTTTGAGATGAGAATGGCAGCTAAATTAAGGATGTCACCAGAAAATTGGGACACCTTCCTATATAGTTGTGGAACTTATTGGAATATTAGACGGCATAAAGCTTTGTTGGGAATTAAGTTACAAGGAAGTTGGATTTTATAGTGATTATAGGGAGGCACTATACTTAGTGCAAAGAAAATCTCCTATGAACAACACATAGATCTATGTCATCGAGAAGATCAAGGAATTTGTCAATGGGGATTGGTCTATCACCTTTTTTCATGTGCTAATTGGCTTTCCCACTAAGCACATTTCATAGATCCTAAGTTCAACACGTTTCTTTTAGTTATAGTCTTGTAATTCCAAGTGAAAAAAAGAACTCTACCTTAAAATCTCATTGTTCTAGCATGATATCTTGTTTTGGCCCAAAAAAAAAAACGATATCCTGTCTTGACAAGTTAAAAGCATGATTAGTCGCAAGAGCGTTTACTTGGGCATATGGTCTTGACTGCAAGGAAACTTTTACATCAGTGGTGTAGCTGAACACCATCAGAGTCCTTTTATCTATGTCAACCAACTTAGAATGGCCACTCTATCAACTAGATATTAAGAATGCCTTCCTAAATGGAGAACTAAAAGAATAATTATATATGACCCCACCTCCAGGGCTTGATAAAGGCAAAAGTAGTCAGTGTGCAAGTTGAACAAATCCCTATATGGTTTAAAGCTGAGGGAGGTGAGAGATGCATTCTTATTGTGCATGTTGATGACATAATTCTCATAAGAGATCATGTTAAGGAAATAGGAAGAATTAAGACTGCTCTTGGAAAAAAAATTTGAACTCAAAGACCTTGGGAGCTTTAAATATGTTCTAGGAATGGAAGTTACAAGGTCAAAGAGAGGCATTTATGTATCTCAGAAGAAGTATGTGCTTGACCTTCTAAAGGAAACAGGTGTGTTGGGTTATAGGTGTACTGAAACTCCAATTGTAGTTTTAAAGAAAAAGAAGTCTAAAAAGAATAACAAGAAAAAGTCAAAAGAAAAAGATTTTGATGATGAAGAAGATGTGAGAAAGAAGAGGTTGTAGACAAAGAGGGATATCAGAGACTTGTTGGGAAACCGATTTATTTCTCTCATACAAGACCAAATATAGATTTTGCAATAAATCCAGTTAGCCAATACGTGTCTGAGCCAAAGAAGAAGCATATGGAAGGAGCCCATAGGATCTTGAGGTATCTAAAAGGCACTCTTGATAGAGGATTATTCTACCAAAAATAGGAATGAAGAATCATAGAGGTATTACACAGATGTAGATTAGGGAGGAACTCATTTCGATAGAAGATCATCCTATCGTTATTGCTCTTTTGCATGGGGAAATTTGGTTCTTAAGATCAATGCTGAGTTTGAGTTAATTGTTGGCTCAAGGAATAATGGAAGAATTACGGTTGAAAAATGTCCCGGAAGAGACACGTGTCAAGGTGGACTTACCACTAAAACTCTATTGTGACAATCGAGCAGTTATAAGCATGGCTTTGAATCCTGTTCAACATGAGAGATCTAAACATGTGGAGGTGGATAGGCATTTTATTAGAGAAAAAGTGGAAGAAGGAATTATATGTTTGATGTATTTGCCCACTAACCTTCAAGCTGCCAATGTATTTACTAAGGGTTACTTATGCTTACATTTGAGAGTTGCCTAAACAAGTTGGACATGATTAGCATCTATAATCTAGCTTGAGGTAGAGTGTGGAGATAATGTAACTTTTGTGAATATATTTGATTTATTAGGCTTTATTAGTCATTAGTAGTATTTAATAGTCTTCATTATTTTCTGTGTCACCTTGATCTATAAATTCCTAGTTGTATTACAATGTTGAGATGAAAGAATGAGAATATACATTTTCTCTCAAATTACTCACAAACAAGTTTCTCAAGAATCTGATAAAATACGTCATAAATGAAGAGAAAAAACAAAGTGGACAAAATGTAAACATATGATAATTGGTGAACTTTATCCTCTTGGTTAAAATTGTGATTTATTATGCTATTTGGATTTGTGTATTATCATCAATTTGTGCTGTTCACAAATCGTCTGCAGGCAAATTGTGCTGTTTGTAAAGCAGATAACAGTGGAGTGACAGCTTTGAGCTGTTCAGCGTCTTGCATGGATTTATATGGAACCCAATGCATAGGTTTTTATGGAAAAATAAGATCATGGAAGTCTGTAAGTTTCTTTTTACAAAGATAGCTACATGTCAGTATGCTCATTTGTTTCCTTGTTTGGTTTGGAAATACATCATTAAAAATTTTTTTGTTTAACTATCTTCAGGTTGCTATTCTTCAGATGCTGGAAAAGCAAATGGGTCCTGAATCTTTTCGTAAAGTGAGTTTCCTTCCCATTTCTGGTATTTTCTTTTTTCATGTTCTTCCCTTATATTTTGTTCAATTAGAAGTAGATTAATTAAGAAACTAGGAGGATGCAGAAAGATAGAAGATGAGTGATGATTTTGGAGGCAGAAACAGCTAGCTATTTTTGATTGTTACTAGGGTACATATACGTAGAAGCTAGGTTTAGCCACAATTCAACTGCACCCTAGAATCTTACTAAAATCGTGGAGATAAATGAGAAAGTAGTAACTGCTGATTTTATTCTGTTATGGCCGAAATACAAGGCCCGTTAAATAGAAACAGTTAAATGCTAAATAAACGCTAATTTACCATAGTGTAAACGGCACCACTTCAACCCTCCTCCCCCTCAAGCTAGAGAATAGATGTTGATCATTCCTAGCTTAGAACTCAATTCTTCAAATCTGTCTCTGGTGAGAACTTTTGTTAAAATGTGTGGGAATATTTGATATTTATTGTAAATATTATCTTTCGTGTACAGCCTTTATTAGTATTTATTAGGTTTTATTAGAGTTTATTAGTAATTATTTCCCCTCCTGTGTATAGAGCCAACATGTACCTTTGCATTATTATCAATGAGAAATATTCTTTTCTCTAAAATTCTACATGATAGTAGAGCCAAGTTAACCTAATTTAGGGCAATGAGAAATATTCTTATCAATGAACATGCAATTAATATGATAACAAAAGAGAAATTCATTAAATAACAATGTATATTGTACAATGATTAGTCTTAGGGCACAATTTCCAACAATTACTACCACCAACCCCTGAGCTATTACCTTTACCTACCCTACCAGCATAACCATTTTCTCTTATGCACAACTTGAGGAACATGGGCAAACAGGAGGAGTTGCAGAAAGACCACAAAAGGGAAAACTGTCAGCTTACACTCAGAAAAAAAAAAAATCAAAAGATAGTGAACAACTTATATCTGAAATATCAAGAGAATCGAAACTAGAGGTATATCCTGAAGCAAAAACTCATGGAGACTTAGAATTTGAGGCAACTCCTAAAACCGCAAAGCTCGATGGTACAGAAGAAATGAGTGAATCTCCTGATCTTGATCTTCCTATTGCTTTGAGGAAGCAATCTTGCTTATGTACTTTCTATCTGACAGAGAGAGGTTTGTTTCATATAACGAACTCTCTCCTCAATATCAGGCTTTTGTTACTAATCTTGATAAGGTGAAGGTACTTAAGACTATACAAGAAGCTCTAAGCATCCCTAAGTGGCGAAGTGGTGTGATGGAAAATATGAGGGTCACAGAAAAGAATGAACAGTGGGTGTTCACCCCAAAATATACTCCCCAACTTGAGAGGGAGTATTGAATTATGTGGTCCAAAAATATAGGCAATTAAGGTTGATTTGTTTAATCAATTGAAATATAACAGATCTGGAGAATATTTCTAGAATCTAGCGTATTCAATAGTTGACCCACCTCTTGAAGGCCTGATTCTTAGCAACGTCTCTTTCCTTTTTATTTACCAGCTTTATTTTCTTTAGGATTTAGCTGTTGGTATTTTATGCTGAGATGATTTTATTTTCTTTCCTTACTTAGAGCATGGCCTGCTGCCTCCAGGAAGTCTGCTTAGTTGTTCTGCTCTTTCCTTATGGGATGTATTAGCTATAAGCTTCTTCAGCTATAAAATCCTTGAATATTTTTGTACCCTGAATTTTTTTAGTTTATTCAGTTAGTATAAGCTTCTTCAGTATTGTTAGATAGTTGATCTACCATCATCCTTTTCCATAACTCTTTCTTTCTTTCTTTCTTTCTTTTTTAACGAAAGTTTTACTTTGTTATGTCGGTTAGGTGCCCAAATGAGAGATCTGATGTTTATCATTATTTATATTTGTTTTTTACCTGCAGATTTTGCAGACAATAGTTTCTCGGGCTCAAGATAAAACCCGTTCTGTGAAAACTCTTAGTACTAAGGAGGTAATTTGCTTGTATTTTTATATGCTCTGTAAACTATTTACCTGCACATAATCTTGATAAATTTTATAGAGGAAATAGAGATATATAAAACGCTTTCAGTTAGAAAATTGGTTAATCCATTTTCACCTAATTAGTTCAAGCTCCCTTCACTGTTGTTTTGCATATAGTCAAACGCAGATGTTGGATGAGGCTTCAATATTTATTTAATCATGGTAGTTGCTGGGAATTACTTATGTTTTATGACTATTATCATCGAAGTTGTTACTGTTGGATTGATCTATGTGTGCTATCAAAAGTATGGATCTATCTTAATTGTGGAATTTCTGAATTTTTATGCGGCATTAAGATGATTTATTATAGCAGACCAGGCTGGTATGTCTATTGTCATGTATATGGTTATACTATATCTATATGTTAGGAGATGGGTAAATGGCACTTAACACAATGTAGAATGCCCCTGGGAATTGTATGAGAACACCCTAGATGGTATGCTGATTTTTGTCTGGTGTTTTTTATATACTCCAAGGTAATGGAGTAGGGAACTTATATTTACAAGCTGGGATATCTTGAGTTTGCAGTTGTGGATATCAAAATTTTTGAAGTGGAAAGGAAAAAAATATTTTTGCTTGCCTATGGAATACTAACAAAAAAATTTTTTGTCATGTACTTGTTGTAAATGTGGTTGCACTTTCTAACTAGCTTCGTAGGCTTTTTGCTATTTTGTTCTGTTTTTTGTTTTGGTATTTTCTGATTTTAGCTTTTGTTAAAAAAGGTCTCCGTCTAATACACATTTTTAATGATATGTTGGATTCTACTACCAGCATTTGCTGTGAACTTTCTGAGTTGTTCAACTCTCTACAGCATTCCTATTCATTTGCAAGTTTATTATTTAAAGCTGGCTTTGGAATCAATTTTAGAAAGATTGATGATTAGTACATGTTTCCTGTTTTAAGAGATTAAACATTACCGTTTGATGGGGTAATTAATTGTCAACTTGGCTTGGGGAGGGGGGGCCGTATTAATTAATATTTAACTGTTATTGGTGTTACAACATAAGCTGTTTGAGTAGAGAGCTTTTGGACTTGGACAAAAGAAATATGAGCTGAGATTTAAAAAAAAAAATTATTCTTTTAAATATGGTTTGCCTGACCCATGGGGTTTAGTTCTTTAAATATAGCTGTAATGTAGATGTGACATTTTGTCTGTGTTAATATATTTCATATGCAGTTTCGACATTTTGCCAATAAGGTGGGAAATCTGGAACGTCCTTTTCTTAAAGAGTTCTTCCCTCGATGGGTTGGTTCATGTGGATGCCCTGTCCTAAGGTGTAATATAAGGATGCTACTTGCTACTATTCATTTAATGTCTATTCTTTCCATGTGCTCACGTGTTTCTCATTGTTGTTGTTAAGGTTTGGGCTTTCCTATAACAAAAGGAAGAATATGGTTGAATTAGCAGTCTTGCGGGGTTGCACAGCATTACAAAATTCAAGGGCATCAATTCTTGATGTTAATCCAGAAACTGAAAATCGAGATGGAGATGTTGGATGGCCCGGGATGATGAGTATTAGGGTCTATGAACTTGATGGCATGTATGACCATCCAATTCTACCAATGGCTGGAGAAGCATGGCAGCTATTGGAAATTCAATGCCACTCAAAACTTGCTGCTAGGCGATTCCAAAAGCCTAAGAAAGGTTCAAAACCTGATGGATCGGATGATAATGGTGATGCACCTGCCATGGATGTGCGCTCCAGGTAGATTGGTTTCCATTTAGCTGTTTTGATCCATGTAATACTTTCTTACATTGTTCTTTTTGTGATATGCAGTTCTGAATCACCTTTATTATGGATTAGAGCAGATCCTGAAATGGAGTACCTCGCTGAGATTAACTTTAATCAGCCAGTTCAGATGTGTGGTAAGGATGACATGTTGGCAATAGTGGTCATTTAATTTTTCTCTCCTATTCTTTTGGTTTCATAGTAAACTTTAATTAGGGTTGATTGCACATAGTTCTGGGTTTTATTTTGTATTGGTTTTTTCAATTATTAGCCATTATTACATTGTATCAAGCTCTCGCTAAAAATAAGTTCATTCAAGTTTGAACTTACTAGATTTCTCAGTTGTCTCTAGCTTTCTTTCTCATACTCCTCCTTCACAATTTCTATATGTTTTGAAATCCTCTAGTGATTGTGCATCACTCCAATCATTAGTGTCTCTCTTTCCTTTTCTTTCTCCCTGTTTTTCCTTCTTTCCTGAAAAGCCCAACCTTCTCTAGTGGTTGTGCCTCATTCCCACTGTGAATTTTAGAGAGAAGAATATATTTTATTCATCTTAGTACTGAGATACATGTTGATTATATAGAGGAGGGGGAAATAATTACTGGTAAAATCTAATAAAGTCTAATAAAAATAATAAAGATTATACACTAAATATTAAATATTCCCACAGTCCCCTCAAGTTAATTTATAGATACTAATTATGTGCACCTTGCTTATACAATTCTCAAATGCAAGTCTAAGTAACCCCTTAGTCAAAACATCAGCTGCTTGCAACTTTGTAGGCAAATATGTCAAACATCAAATTCCTTCTTCCACTTTTTCTCTAATAAAGTGTTGGTCAATCTTTACATGTTTTGATCTGTCATGCTATTTTGGATTTAAGGCCATGCTTATGACAACCTTTTCATTGTAGTAGAGCTTTACTAGTAAGCTTGATCTAACTTATATTTCATTCAACACACGTTTCAGCCATAACTCCTCTGCTATTCCTTGAGCTAAAGCTCTCAATTCAAATTCAGCATTGCTTCTTGAAACAACTCTTTGCTTTTGGCTTCTCCATGTCACTAAATTTCCCTATCTAAAAGAGCAATAACCAGAGGTTGACCTTTGATCTTTATAGGTTCTACCCCAACTTGCATCAATGTAAACTTCTATGGATATTTGTTTATATTTTCTAAAGAACAAGCCTCTACCAAGAGTACCTTTCAAATATCTGAAAATCTTGTAAACTGTCTCCATATGGCTCTTCATTAGACAACTCATTTGTTGACTAGCTACACTGACAACGAAAGCCATATCTAGTCTTGTATGAGAAACATATATCAATTTTCCTATGAGTTTTTGATATCTCTCTTTGTCGGTTGCTTCTTCCTTTTCTTTAGCTTCCTCCTCCTCTTTACCTTCCTCCTCTGAGTTTTTCTTCTTTTTTGGTTTTCTTGACTTTAATAAGGAGAGAGTATAGTCATATGGACTTATTCTTTCAACTCTCCCTTTAAAAAGGCATTCTCTATCAAGTTGATGAAGAGGTCACTCTAGATTAGCTGTTATAGACAATGAGATTGATAGTGTTCAACTTTGCCACTGAAGCAAAGGTTTCTTCATAGTCTTGACCATATGTCTGGGTAAACCTTTTTGCAACCGAGTGTGTTTTCAACTTGTCAAGGGCACCATCAACCTTGTATTTTAGGGTGAATACCTGCTTACAACTTTTTGTTCTCTTTACTTTGGGTAATCAAACAAGTCCCCATGTCTCATTATTTTATAGAGCCCTCATCTCTTCTGTGATAGCGCTTCGCCATTCAAGGATACTTAGAGCTTCTTGTATAGCCTCACGTACCTTCACCTTATCAAGATTATTAACAAAAGGCCAATATTAAGAAGAAAGTGTATGGTAAGAAACAAACTTCTTTAGCAGATGGAAAGTATATGAGCGAGTTTGCTTCCTCAAAGCAATGGGAAGATCAAGATTAGTAGATCTATTTCTTCTATACCATATAGCTTTGAGTTTTTAGGAATTTCCCCAACTTCTATGTTACCATGAGTTTCTGTTTGTTCATACTCTCTTGGTGCTTTAGGTACAAGTTGTTCACTGTCTCTTGACTCTTTTTTTCAGTGTAAACATACAACTCTCCTTTTTGTGATTTTTTTTGCATCTCCTGCTTGCATGCATTCTTCAGGTTGTGGCATAGAAGATGGTGGTGTTGGTAAGGTAGGTGCAAGCAATGGTTTAAGAGTTAGTGGTGGCAATAATGGCTCATTTGGTGTAAACCATGGCTCAGGAAGCACCAATTCTCTATTAGATTCTTGTCTCCAAGTTTGAGATTCACCTATGTTCTCCCTTTGAATTGAAGGATTGGTTTAGAAAGGAGCATCTTCATGAAAGGAGACATCAAGGCTAACAAATGTGTGTTTTAAGATAAGATCAAAGCATCGGAATCCTCTCTAAGTAGCAAAATAGCCAAGAAAGATGCATTTGGCAGCTTGAGGGTCAAGTTTAGTACTTTGGTGGTTATGGACAAAGGCTGTGCAACCAAACACACAAAGTGGAAGATTGGTTTGAATGTAAGATGTGGAGAAAACACTTTGTAATTTATAAAGAGGGTTTTAAAGGATAAAATTCGACTGGGCATATGATTGATTAGGTAGGTTGCAGTCAAAATTGCATCCCCTTAATAAATTGCGGGCACATTGTAAGTAAACACGAGTGCTCTGACAACATCAAGGATATGATGATTTTTCCTTTCGGCAACCTCATTTTGTTAGGATGTATGGGCACAAGAACTGGCATGGACAATACTATGCATTTGGAAGAAAGCACTCAAGGATTGGTTAAAGTACTTAGTTCCATTGTCAGTATGTAAAACTTGGATGGTAATGTTGAATTGAGTTTTGATCATGTTGAAGAAAGTCATGAATGTGGATGCCGCCTCAAACTTGTTTATTAAAAGATGAACTCAATAGACATGAGTATGATGATCAATGAAGGAAATATGAATGGTTGTGAATGGTTTGGTAGGTGTGCATGGCGGCTCTAGGAAAGGAAGTTCTATGGTGTTTGGCAAGCTCACACACTTTACAATGAATATTATTAACATCTATGTTTGATCACAAGGTTGGGAACCAATGCTGAAGGTAAAAAAAATTAGGGTGACCTATCCTCTTATACCATAACATAAAATGATTGACTTTAGAGGTAGATGGAGGGTTACCAACAATCGGTGAGTTGCTCACTTGAGTGGTGATGTCGAAATAGTATAGCCCCTCATATTCCTTGACACTTTCGAATGTTGCTCCCTATAATATGTCCTGAAACACACTGGGAAGGGAAGAATTTAGCATAACAATGTGATTACTTGGTCAACTAATTGACGGAAAGTAAATTACAATTAAGTTTAGGCACATGGAGGACAAATTCCAACATTGTAGAGTCGGAAATATGAATACCCTCTTTAATTGCTACAAGTGCCAAAGAGCCATCTACAATCTTTACTTTAACATTCTCGACACGGGATGTAAGTGGTAAACAACTCATAACAACTAATCATATGGCCTGAAGGCTCCAATACTTGAGGACTTAGAAATCTAGACGAAAACTTCAAGTTGATGTCGAAAGAAGTCGTCAAAGCTTTATCAAGCATCTCATGCTCTCCCACGTGTCAATGAGAGCTCGCTAGAGCAGAATGCTTTGAGAACCACACGCGCCACCATTCGTGGTGGTTTTTTTGGGTTGGGCCTCAAATGGAGTCTCCTCTTGCTCATGGGGCTAGCGGTGAGAGTCAGTACTGCCTCCATCATTATGCATATGAATGCCCCTAAGTAGTAGAAAGGAGATATCATGCGATTCATAACCCAGAAACCTTAACACACTCTTTCATAACCTAAATGCTTTGATGCCATGTGAATTTCAGAGAGAAGAATATTTCTTATTTGTCTTAGTACTAAGATAATGTGGATTATATAGAGGAGGGGGAAATAATTACCAATAAAGTCTAATTAAAATGATTATACAATAAATATTTATTCCCATACCCACCATGGTGCAGCCACCCCATTGGCAGCACACCCTACTAGTAGCCTCAAATGATGTTGATGAGTCATCTTCATGGTTGGAGCTTGAAGAGTAAAGGCGGGGCTCAAAGGGAAAATGGCCAATGAGTCTTTCTAGGAGGAAGGCAACTAGAGTCTGATGCTCACCTGCTCTCACACACTTAGAACATGGGAGTTCTTCAAGGACTGTGCAGAAGCACATGATAGCATGTGAAACTGAGTTGCATTTTGTTGGAGAACAAGTCCATATAGCCAAACACCATGTTACATTTTTCCTCTCTGTTATTTTTGGTTTTATTAAATTTTTTATTTATTTGTTTATTGGATAAGGTTTTATCTGTTGATAGAATCTTTCAAATGTAACCTAGATTACACAGACGCCTTGAGGCAGCAAATAGTTTCAATGTCCATATAGGTTAGTCTTTGAAATAGACTACCAAGAGGTCTTGCCATGCCAAATAGGTCAGTCAAATAGTTGGCCCAAGATATGATGACATATTGATTGCAATAAAAATGTAAGATATGATGATGTTGAGATGAATTTGTGGTCATCCAAGAAAGCAAAAGATCTATAATTATTGTATACAACAAAAAGTTGGCATGGCATCTATGAAGGAGAAAATAGTGAAAAAATGATTAAGGTGGTTTGAACATAAGAAAAGAAAGCTGCAAGAGGAACTAAGAAAAAGAATTGAATTGTCTTTACCCTTGTGAAGATATCTAGAGGGAGATCAAAACGGGCATTCAAGGAAGTTATTGAATAAGATCTTTCGGTGAATGATATATTTGAAGAGGTAGTTGCTAATATTGCACAACAGAGTTGTGCAAGTCTTGTAACCAACCTCACTTTGTGGAATAGGGCTTATTATTTTTGCTGCTGCTAAAGTCCATCAAATCTCACCACACACATATGTATATGATGCTGAGGTTTTATCATATATAAGATCATATTAGTTTCTGGCCCCTCTCATTGGTCCTTGGTCCTTGGATCAAATCAATACGTTAAGCTAGCTGTGCTATCCTATTGGAAAATATATTTAATGGAAACCTGTGAATTCACTTACCACAGTGGTCGTCTGGCTGGTAGAAGAAAGAGTCAAGCAAGCTTGAACTTTTCAAGTAATGAAACAACTGAACGCAAAGTCTTCCTTCCAAGGTCATGGGATTCCATTCCTACCTGAACCATTTTCTTTATCTGTTTATATGCCCTTTTAATCATCTCATCTAGACCTAAATTGGGCTGCTGTCGCTAGAACTCTGTCCTTATCAATGAAGAATACAGTAGGGCCTAAATACATAAAATAAGCATTGTCAGCCTTTTTATAATTTAATCACACTTATTCTTTCATGTTTCTGGTTGTATTGGTTTCTCTGTTTCATTTTTTATATTTATCTTTTTTAGCATTATCAATTTATTGATTATTGATTCTAGGCAAGTTGATATCATTATTCAGATTAATCAATTAGAGAAGGACAAAGATGTTATTGCTCAGGCTCAAGCAATTGCAACCATTGAGGCATTACCCCAGATATCTTTTGCTGTTGTAACTGCCTTAAACAATTTTCTCACTGACTCCAAGGTTTGGCTGCTTTCTGCTTTGTTACTTTTTTTCAATGATTATTTTTTATCCTAATCTAGTATTTTGTTTTTTTCCTCCATAACTCAAGGCTTTTTGGAGAGTTCGGATTGAAGCTGCATTTGCATTGGCTAGTGCAGCATCTGAGGTATTTAAATGATTGATTACCTTTTGCAGCAAATGTTCTGAAATATCAAACAGTTGCAGTATGTGTAGTTGTAAGCAGGTTATGCATTAAACAGTCCATTCTTGTTTTATCCGCCTTTAAGTGGAAGTTCTGATGTCTTATTTGCTTTATCATATTAGGAGTCTGCTTACCATTAGAAACTAGCTTTTACTATCCTATGCAATGCACGAGAGCCAAAAACTATAATAAATTGTACATCGCAACTTTATTTTTATTTTTATTGATACTATATTAGTTGAGATATCATTACTTTATGACATAACAGAATGATTCCTAATACATAAAAATTCATCTCATCTATTCACAACCTCCATTACCAATAAAGAAAATGTTAATCCATTACTACAACTTCATGATATCAAGCATAAAAGGGATGACAATTAGAATGGATATTTAATATCTCATGAACCCAGATTCCTAAAGAACTCTTTGTAAACAACATTTATTGTTGTTCTTCTACAGTTCTACCAGTATTTTCATGATCATGCATCAAAATCTGTAGTTCATCCATGCTTCTTATCCTTGACAATGCCACATATCTTGCTTTTACTTCCCAATGCGATGCATGAGAATATTACACAAAAATGTTGATCAAATATGGTGATTAACTCTTATAGATAATCTGTTTAATTGCAATATTTGTTTGTTTTGTCACATTTCATGTAAGGAAATTGAAATTGTTAACCATCTATTTATGCTGTTATATTTTACAATTTTTTATTTTAAATGTAATGCCTTTATCTATCTTGTGCATATATTTTAAATTTCGTTATAATTCCTCCATTTTACAATTTTATGAACTTCACATCCTTATTATACTCATACAACTATTTTTATTTTTAATGCATCTTGCTTTTACTTTCTGCCCCAAGAGATTATAATTAATGTCTAATTAATTAAATTACTTGCAGCAAATGTTCTGAAATATCAAACAATTGTGTAGTTGCAAGCAGGTTATGCATTAAATAGTCCATTCTTGTTTTAACCGTCTTTAAGTGGAAGTTCTGATGTCTTATTTGCTTTATCATATTAGGAGTCCGCTTACTGTTAGATATGCACTTGAGATATGATGAATTGAACTCTAGTTTTGGCAAGTCTAGAGTAACTGAGAGATTAGTGACCGTAAGGTTCATGGATTATTAACTAAAATCAGAATCTGTAAACTATTTGACTCTGCTTCCTTCTACCAGATTAAAGACAAGAAAATGTTGATAATTTTTTTTCTTTCAAACATGACATGACAGAAAATTCTTTGTTTCTTATGTAGCAGGAAACTGATTGGGCTGGTCTACTCCATTTGGTGAAATTTTATAAGAGTCGGAGGTTTGATCCTGATATTGGACTCCCAAAGTAAGGCTTTTGAAATTCTGTTCTTACTTTCTCTCCGTTAACTTGAACAATATGAAGTGACAAGGGTTGGTTTTGTACTACTCTTGCCAGGCCAAATGACTTTCATGATTTTGCCGAGTACTTTGTTCTTGAGGTAATGCAAGGAGGTAGGATGTGTATTTAGGTGATGTGATTGAGTGCTTACGCTTGTTTGAACATTATTTAGCATGTTTTGATGGACCATAATATGCTGTCCTGTGGTATTATGAGAGAGGAAAACTGTATTTTTGATTCATGTATATTCTAATGTACAAATTGGTGCTATATATATTCATCAAGAGAGATAAAACCTAATAAATACTAACAAGGCCTAATGAATAATGGTAATAAATGCTAATTATTTACAATAATGATGTAATATTCCCACACTCCCCTCAAGGTAGATCATAGATGTTAATGATGTCCAACTTGTTTATATAACTTTCAAAGGCAGGCTTAGTCCCTTGATCAGCACACCCACAACTTGTAACTTTGTAGGTAGGTATGTCAAATATACAATGCCTTCAACTTTCTCTCTAAGAAAATGTCTATCACTTCAACATGTTTAGATCTTTCATGTTGTACAGGATTTAATGCCATGCTTACGGCAGCTTTGTTATCACAATACAACTTCATTGGTGGATCAATTCTTACCTGTATTTCGTCCATGACCTTTCTTATCCATAGTTCTTTTGTAATTCCTTGAGCTAATGCTCTCAATTCTAATTCAACACTGCTTCTAGATACAACTCTTTACTTTTGACTTCTCCAAGTCATCAAGTTTCCCCACACAAATGAGCAATAGCTGAAGGTGGATCTCCTATTTCCATAAGTTCTCCCCTAGTCTGCATCTATATAGATCTCAATTGTCTTTTGATCATGCCTCTTAAATAGCAATCCCTTACCAAGTGTGCCTTTAAGGTATCTAAGAATCCTGTATACAATTTCTAGGTGTTTCTTCATTGGATCATACATTTATTGACTCACTACACTAATAGCAAAAGAAATATTTGGCCTTATATGGGATATATAAATGAGGTTCCCAACCAATCTCTAATATTTGTCTTTATCAATTGTTTCTTTTTTTTTTCTTGTCTTCTTCTTCTTCAACCTTATCATTAGAGTTGTCTTCTTCTTCTGACTCCTCCTCACTGTTTTTCTCAGACTTATTCTTCTTCTTTCTCGAGACCACAATAGAAGTTTCCTCAAGTTTTCAACCTAACATACCAGTTTCCTTGAGAAGATCAAGTATATACTTCCTCTAAGATATATATATATATATATATGCTTCGTTTTGACCTTGCAACTTCCATCCCGAGAAAATATTTAAAGTTCCTGAGATCCTTGACTTCAAATTCCTTTCGAAGGACAATCTTTATCATTGCGATTTCCTCAACATGACCTCCTATAAGAATTATATCATCTATATACACAATAAGGATGTACTTCTTAGCTCCCTCAGCCTTAACAAACATTGTGTGATCTAATAATCCTTGTTTGTAGCTTTCTAACTTTAGAACCTTTGAGAATTTGTCAAACCATGCTCTAGATGATTGTTTCAAGTTATACAAGGATTTCTTCAGTTGGCATACTTTGTCACTGTTGCCTCTATCAAACTCCAAAGGTAGAGTCATATAAACTTCTTCCTTCAATCCTCCATTTAGAAAGGCATTCTTGATATCTAGCTGATGAATTGGCCATTCAAGGTTGGCTGCTACTAACAATAGAATCTGATAGTGTTTAGCTTTGTCACTGGCGCAAATGTCTCTTTGTAGTCTATACCATATGTCTGGGTGAAACCCCTTGCTAGTAACCGTGCCTTTAACTTGTCAAGTATGCTATCAACCTTGCACTTTTGGGTAAAAACTCACTTGCAATTAACCAATTTCTTACCTCTAGGTCTTTCAACAATCTCCCATGTTCCATTTTTCTCCAAAACTCTCATTTTCTTCGTAACTGCATTTCTCCATCCTGGGATTCCCAGTGCCTCTTGGATGTTGCTAGGAATAACAACTTTATCGAAATTAGTGATGAAGGCCTAATAACTAAGAAAGAGCACCTTGTGGGGTACATGCTTCTGAATCAGATGCAAAGCACAAGACTAAGGTTGTTTTTGGAAAGCAGTAGGTAGATCAAGATTAGCAAATTCACTTCCTTGTTTTGAATCATCTAGCTCATTGGATAGATCAGTCTTTAGTACTTCAGCTTCAAGAATTACCTCTGGTTTTGACTCTCTTGCTACCTCAAATACACGTTGCTCACTATCTTTTGATTTCTTCTTTCAAGTGTAAACCAACAACTCTCCCTTTTGTGTTCTTTCTACATCCCCCTCTATTTTCTTGTTTTTCTCAAACCTTAGCATGAGAGAAGAGGTTGGTGTAGGTAGGGTGATTGACGGAAAAAATTGGCAAGGGTGATGGTTTTGGTATAGGAAGTAATGGCTCAAGAAGTACATATTTTGTATTAGATTCTGGTTTCCAAGTCTGAAATTCACCTATACTCACCCCCTGAATTGAAGAATTGGAATAAAAAGGTGTTTCTTCATGCAATGTAACATCAAGGCTTACAAGGGTGAATTTAGAAACTGGATCAAAACATTTGTATCCTTTTTAAGTTGGAGAACAACCAAGAAAGATGTACTTGATAGCTTGAGGTTCAAGTTTATTGCTTTGGTGGATATAAATAAAGGCTGTGCAACCAAACATATGAAGTGGAAGTTTGGTTTCAATATGGGATATGGGAAAAACACTTTGCAATTTTTTTGAGAGGATTGAGGATGAGATTTGACTAGACATTTGGTTGATAAGATAAGTCATGATTAAAATGGCATCCCTCAAATAAAACTTTGGCACATTGCAAGTGAACATGAATGCCCTTGCAACTTCAAGGATATGTCTATTTTTCCTTTCTACAACCCCATTTTGTGGGGTGTGTGGGCAAAAGTACTTGTATGGACAATACCATGCATTTGGAGGAAATTACTCAAAGACTGGTTAAAGTACTCGATGCCATTATCGGTGTGTAGGACTTAGGTGTGTAAGACTTGTTTTTGAAAAGATAAACTCAACAAACACGAGTATGGCCATCAATGAAGGAAATAAATCATTTTGTTTGAGTACAGTTTGAAGTATGAGATAGTCCCCATAAGTCACTGTGAATGGTTGCGAAAGGTTTAGTGGTTGTGTATTTGGTTCTAGGAAAGAAAGTTCGATGGTGTTTGGCAAATTCACACCTCTCACACACTAGAATTCACTATGATTCAAGTTCAAGCATAAGGTTAGAAACAAATGTTGAAGGTAATAAAAATTAGGATGATCCATCCTCTTATGCCATAACATAAAATCATTAACTTTAGAGGTAGATACAAAATTACTAACAATAGGTGAGTTGCTCAGTCAAGTGATGACTTCTAAGTAATAGGGCCCCTTGTACTACTTGGCATTGCCAATTGTCGCACCAGATGATAGATCCTGAAACACACAATGTGACGTGAGAAATATAGCAAAACAATTTGAGTGCCTAGTCAATTGACTGATTGAAAGTAAATTGCAATTAAGTTTTGGCACATAGAGGACAGATCCTAAAACAATAGAATCTAATATATAGATAATCCCTTTTTCCACCACGGGTGCTAAAGAACCGTCTACAATTTTCACTTTTAACATTCCCAGCACGTGGGGTGTAAGTGGTGAACAATTGATGACTACTAGTCATATGGTTGAATGCCGCAGAATCCACAATTCACACCACTGCCCTTCAAATCATCTTTAAAGCCTAAAGAAAAGACCCCTTTTTGCAACTAATGCCATAGGTGTAGACCTGGAAAAAGTAGTCATGACATTGCATAGGAGTATCCATAGGACCACTCCTAGCACTTCAAATGTGGGAAAGACTCCATAATAGACTGAAACTAGAAGCCACAATCTAATATAACTCCAAACACCACAAAATGGGGCACTAACGACACCATACAGATTGAATGGTTCAAAAACAATGTAACCATACACCAAAGTTGCATGGGTCTGGCTAGAGAGAGTGCGTCGTCGCCGTTCGACAAGGTCGTGGCCTGAACAAAGTTACCACATGCTGCTAGAAGCTTTCTGACATAGTTTGCTGGGGTGGCGTGTGTGGGCTACATGCATTGCAGTTCACCATCACCGTCCTATGTTTCGCCATTTGGAGCCTCTTGAGCATGTCTAGGATGGCAGCAAGAGTCCAAATTTGCTTCACCATTATCCACACAAATGCCCTCACATATTGACTATGAAGTCTCATGGGAGCCATTCCCAAAAGAACCTAATTTTAATTTTGAGCCTGATGCTTTGAAACCACGTGGTCCTCTGATAAAGGAAAAATGTATCTCTCATTTATGTGTATTTTCATGTGCAAACTAGTTCTACACACACACACACACACATCAAGAGAGATAAAACCTAATAAATACTAATAAAGCCTAATGAATAAACAATACAACAACAACAACAACAAGCCTTTATCCCACTAGGTGGGGTCGGCTACATGGATTGCAAAACGCCATTGTGCTCTATCATTTATCAAGCTTTTAGGAATATTATTAATTAAGAGATCACGTTCAACAACTTCCAAGAGTGTTCTCTTAGGCCTTCCTCTACCTCTCTTAATCGGACTCAAAGTTATATGTTCCACTCTTCTCACTGGTGCCTCCCTTGGTCTTCTTTGTACATGCCCAAACCATCTCAACCGATTTTCTACCATTTTTTCCTCAATAGGTGCCACCCTCACTTTTTCGCGTATGTGCTCATTTCGAATTTTATCTTTACGTGTATGTCCGCACATCCATCGTAACATTCTCATCTCTGCTACTCCAACTTTATGCTCTTGCTGTCCCGTTAGAGCCCAGCATTCACTACTGTATAACATTGCCGGTCTGGTAGCAGTGCGATAAAACTTTCCTTTAAGTTTATTAGGCACCTTACGGTCACAAATAACTCCTTTAGCTTTTCTCCAATTAAACCACCTAGCTTGAATTCTATGTGAAATATCTCCACTGATTTCGCCATCATTTTGAATAATGGCTCCCAAATATCTAAACTTTTCCACTTGAGGTATAATTTGATCTCCCAATTTCACTTCCAAATTATTTTCGAATAGTCCTTTACCAAATTTATAATATAAATATTCCGTCTTACTTCTACTTAGACGAAAACCTTTCAACTCCAATATCCTCCTCCATAACTCAAGTTTGCAATTAGCCTCTTCTCTTGTCTCTGCTATAAGAACTATATCATCCGCGAAGAGCATACATTTCAGGATTTCTTCTTGAATATGTTCCGTTAAAACATTTAAAATCAAGTTGAACAAATAAGGACTCAGAGATGATCCTTGATGTAGTCCAATTTTTATAGGAAAATCCTTTGTTTGACCACTAGGCGTTCTTATACTAGTTTTTTACCCCCTCATACATATCTTGTATGGCTTTAATATAAGCAATCCGTACTCCCTTTTTTTCCAACGCTTTCCAAAGCACTTCTCTTGGTATACGGTCATAAGCTTTTTCCAAATCAATAAAAACCATGTGTAGATCTTTATCTTTACAACGATACTTTTCCATTAATCCCCTTAGTAGATAAATCGCCTCTGTAGTTGATCTACCTGGCATAAAACCAAATTGATTCTCAGAAATACTTGTCTCCAATCTCAACCTGTGCTCAATTACTTTCTCCCACAATTTCATTGTGTGGCTCATGAGTTTAATCCCTCTATAGTTAGTACAATTCTAAATATCTCCTTTATTTTTATAAATAGGAATTAATGTACTTCTCCTCCACTCATCAGGCATTTTCTTGGACCGTAAAATCACATTAAATAACTTAGTTAACCATCTCACCCCTTCTTCACCTAAACATTTCCACGCTTCGATAGATATACAATCAGGTCCGTTGGCTCTACCATTTGCCATTTTCTTAAGAGCTTCCTTTACCTCCTTATCACGTATTATTCGATAAAATGACAAATTTTGTTCTCCTTCACCAGTTACTAAATCCTCCAAGTTACTAGATGAATCCTCTCCATCATTGAAAAGTTTAGAAAAATAAGTCTCCCATCTATTTTTAATTTCATCATCTGTAACTAAAATTCTTCCCTCTTCATCCTTAATACACCTTACCTGTTCTAGATCTCTTGATTTTCTTTCCCTACTCTTGGCAGTCTTATAAATATTTTGCTCTCCTTCCTTCGTCTCAAGGTTCTTATAAAATTCTTCAAAAGCTTTAGAACGAGTTTCACCCACAGCTCTCTTAGTTTCCTTCTTAGCCATACGGTACCTCTCCCAATTTTTCTCATTGTTACACAAATGTATGGCTTTAAAACAATTCTTCTTATACTTGATTTTGTCCTGTACACTATTATTCCACCACCAAGACTCCTTATCTCTCGGACCAGAACCTTTCGATTCTCCCAAAACTACTTTTGCAACCTCCCGTATCTTTTTAGCCATATCCTCCCATATGATGTTAGCACTTCCCTGAGATTCCCAAATTCCTTTATCCAAAAGATTTCGCTTGAAAATATCTTGCTTCTCACCTTTTAATTGCCACCACCTAATCCTTGGTGTTACTACTTGTCGACGTTTTTGGATTTACTCATAATACACACATCAAGGACTAGGACCCTATGTTGTGTCGTTACAGCATCTCCGGGGATCACCTTACAATTTTTACAAAGTTTTCTATCTGTGTTCCTAACCAAAAGAAAATCAATCTGTGACCTTGAGGCTCCACTTTTGTAAGTGATGAGATGCTCATCTCTCTTCTTGAAACAAGTGTTGGCAATCTTAAAATCATACGCCAATGAGAAATCAAGAAGAGTTTGTCCTTCATTGTTTAGCTCTCCAAAACCAAAACCACCATGCACCCTCGCATACTTACCAGCTTCCCTCCCGACATGCCCATCAAAGTCTCCTCCAATAAAAATCTTTTCACTCTGTGGTATGTGTCGAATCAACCCCTCCAGATCCTCCCAAAATAATTCCTTAAGACTGGCTTCTGTCCCGACTTGCGGCGCATAAGCGCTAACAATATTAACAGTCTCACGTCCAATTATCATTTTTAAAGAAATAATTTTGTCTCCAATTTTGCTAACTTCTACAACGTTCTTCTTCCACTCCTTATCTATAATGATGCCTACTCCATTGCGTGCACTTACTTTTCCTGTATACCAAAGGTTGAAACCTTGAATATCCTTAGCTTCTTCTCCACGCCATTTTGTTTCTTGCAAGCAAAGGATATTGATTTTCCTTTGAATCATAACCCCTACAACCTCTACAGATTTACAATTTAATGTCCCAACATTCCAAGTACCAAATCTAATTTTGCTCTTATGGGCTAACTTCTTTAGCCGCGTGCATCCAGAATGATGCGGTAGCCCTTGCTCATTTAACACTACATCCGGGCGCTGATGCAGCGGCTCTAACTCACTTATCACTGTACTCGAGCTATGCAGCGCGTTACTTATGGGCAACGACCTAGCATTAACATTATAACGTCTATTGTCCATGTTCATGATAGATTCAGCAAATTTTAACATTGGCTGTTGATGGCCTAACACAACCCTAAGCGGAGTTTAATGAATAAACAATAATGACATAATATTCCCATATGTCCCAAGTCTATTAATTTTAACATAATATTGTGCTTTCATTCGGCTGAAAGTAGAATTGTTCCACTAGTAGTAGAGTTATCCACTCTATAGGCCATTGAAGCCATTGGCTTCTCTTAATGCGAATACTCCATTTCCACATAGGCATAGCTCATGCTTCGATGGGAGCTTGTGAAGTCCAAACATGTAACTTCATGAATTATTGGGTAGCTATGAGGGAGAGAGGTAAAGCTGACCTGATTAAAGTCAAGAAGGCATGGTTTTGTATATGTCAAGGATAGAATGCACAGATGCTGCTAATCATAAAATGCTTAGATGCACATGAGATAATCTAATTGTTGGATCATCAATGATGGGCTTAATCTTTAGAATATATACAATTAACCCAAGTTTATGATCGAAAGGTCATCATGGGGTGGAAAAGTGTTTTTTGGAACTGCTGGGGGAAAAATCTAAGTTGTTTTCCTCTGCTTCTAATTTAATGATTTGAAATTTGCAATTGGATATTGAATGCCCCTCTGTTTACAATTGGCTTAGAGCTGACATCCTCGACCTTTGATGTGCCCTTGATAAATTTGATATATCTGAATGGCATGGATACTCACTGTTTGATCCTAAACTCTTCTATATGTTTTGATTAAATATCTGACCCTTCTATTTTGTTGATTTGAATCTTTTAGGCTATCCCACATGCCGTAGCTATGGTCAGAACTGCTGACAGGAAAAGCCCAAGAGAGGCTGTGGACTTCGTTTTACAACTATTGAAGGTTATTGTTTATTTAATTTTCCCCTATGACGATATCTGCAATAACAGCCATGAAACAATAGAAAATAATCAATTTATGATGCATTATATGTGTTAGTTTATAACATTAGTATGAGGGCCTAGATTAGAGTATATCTTGTTTTAAATATATTGAACTGAAATAACTTTTTATTGCTCCTCAAACTAATGAATGGTAATGGGCTTTAAGTTTTTTTTTTTCCCTTGGCATTTATCTGAGTTGGATATTTTATCTATGATGAATATATGTTAAAATACCTTAATTTTAATTTTTGATATGTTCATGACTGCAGCATAGATTTGAAATTCAATGGGAATGAACGGAGTTTTGACACCATGCGTCATTTATGGCTGCTTCTTATTGCCATATATATGACAAACCACTGTAGTTATACTTTATTATGAGGCCACTTTTCTTCTCTGGATTTTTTCTTAAATTTTTTGGACTGCATTTCGACTGAGAAATTTCCTTCCTTGTTTATTTTGTTTCGTTGATTTGCTGGTATTGCAGTGAGGTTTCTATTATTTGAGAAATTGCCCCTTGACTTATTTACTATAGGGTGTTGCCAACTTTCCTTGTATTTTATTTTTATCTTATTTGTGGCAGTACAATGACAACAATGGAAACCCCTACTCAGATGTCTTCTGGCTTGCTCAATTGGTCCAGTCAGTTGGTGAACTTGAGTTCGGGCAGCAGGTGGATGGATTTGATTTTTTTATTGATTATAATCGCTAGACTGCTGTTGCAACCTTCTACTAGATAATATACTGTTATGATTTCGCCTTTTGTCTCTTGTCTAGTTAGTTTAAAGCATAATTGTCAAAGTTGTGTCATTTACTTTCAAATCTTATGATTCACAATGTATCATATAGCCATTAACTGCCAACCTTATTGGCCATATTTCTGACTCTAAAACTAATGACAGAGTATTCTCCTTTTATCATCACTCCTGAAGCACATTGACCGGCTCTTACAATTTGACAGGTCAACAAACACATTACCTACAAAGTTGTGTATTTCATCAAATTTATTTGTAATGGTTACTTACTTCAATAGAAATGACTTGTACTAGACTCATGCCAAGCTACAATGGAGTCTTGACTATCAGTTGTATCAGAACCTTGACACAAATTGCATTGAAGCTTTCAGGATTCATTCCCCTTGTAAGTTTATCCTTATTTTTCATTAAACTGCTCATTGAAGCTGTGCATGGTCATAAATAATCCTCGAGATTTACCACAGGATCGTGTCTATGAACTTATAAAACCTTTTCGGGACTTAAAAGCAATTTGGCAAGTTCGTATTGAAGCAAGCAGAGCACTCCTTGATCTTGAATTCCATTCCAAGGGAACTGATGCAGTATTACTATTATTTATCAAATATGTGGAAGAGGAGCTTTCCCTAAGAGGTTGTGCATCCTTTGTGACCAAGATTCTATTCTTCTAAAAGAATTATTCTTCCTATGTTCCTTGATGGTTTTTCCTTCATTTTCATTTTCTCCCCTTGATCATATATCTACAAATTTACATTCCTTGATTTCAGGGCAGGTAAAACTGGCCATTCATGTTATGCGGTTATGTCAGATGAGAATTGATTCCAATGAAGAAATTTCAAGCCAAACATTTGTGGCTTTGCTTTGTTTGCTTGAAGGTCGTGTATCATTCAATAATGTGCTTCTCCGTCACCATTTGTTCTGCATATTACAAATACTTGCGGGAAGGTAGGCATATGTTTAATGCGTAGTCCTTGAAGAAAAAGTTAATAAAATACATAGATAAATGAAATTGACTTGGTTATCTGGTTAATCTTTTGTATGGATGTTGCATGTATCTGCTTATGACAAGATTGATGGTCTAGAGATTTTGAGTGATTTCTTGCCCATTCGGAGGGGAACTTTTTTTTTTTTTTTTTTGGTTTCTTCATATTTTCTGTCTTTTAATATAGGCCCCCCAATATTTTTCAAGCTTCTATGGCTATCTATTTTTGTGATTTTTGTAATTAATTAAATTAATATAATTTGAATGTCATAGAAATTTGTGTGAGCTGTTGCCTGTAAGTAATTCTTATTGATTATTTTATATAAGTGGAATGCCGTTTTTGTTCAACATGTTTCAAATGCTCTGGTATATGGACTTTAGCTGATCCTTAGTTCCTCGTAGGCTCTTTTGGTGCAGTGCTTGTGGAGCCTTTGCCTGTCTTCCTCCTCATCTTGTTAAATGATATATATTTGATTTTGCTTTTAGCCTAGACTAATTAGACCATTTTACCTTCCTAAAATTCAATTACGCATATAGTTTGGTAGTTTGCACTTTCCTTTTTTGGGTATTTGAAAGTTATATTTTTTATAGGAAATCAAACCTAATATGTAATCCTGTTTTTATATTTCATTTCAGTGTAATTGATGAAGTGAACTTGAATGGAGCGTCCTGTGTTAATATGATTTGGTTAATGTCTGCATTTTGTTGATGATTTCTGATCTTGTATCTATAGTTCCTTTTTTTCCTGGTCAAGAATATGTAGTTTCTTTTGTTCGTATATTTTGGGGAAAAAAGAAAGCGAACTAATTATCAATGTAATCTGTGCTTGTAACTTTAGACCACCAACTCTACATGGAGTACCCAGAGAAAATAAAACGTTGCAAATGAGTCTTGTGGAAAATTGCAGCGATGAGAGAAACATAATTGTTCTTGAGCCAGAAAGTAAACCTCCTGAACTGCCTTGCTCTACCCAAAACCTAACAGAAGATTGGGGCATGGGAGACGCTTTCAAGGACATACTTGAAGAGGCTCCTGGGAATACAGCCCCTGAACCTCCAAAAGATGTGCATGTCAAAACTCCAAAGGAATCACCCATTGAGGCTCCGAAAGAAGAGCATCCAGAACTGCTGCAGGAAGCGCCAACTGAAGCTCCCAATGAAGTTCCTAAGGAAGTTGATGTTGCCTCAATTGGCCAAGAGCGGAAAAAGCCAGTTGTTAAAATCAGGGTCAAACAATCTTCTGCCGCCAGTAGGGCTGATACAGATAATCAAATGGTTGAACGATCATTAGGTGGCCGAAATGAAATTGATCGTGCAGTTAGCAGTTCAGTTTCTGTAGATGCACCCCCAAGGAATTTTGGAGAGACTCCGAGTAATCACAATGTTGAGGAAGTTAATTCTTGGCACGATCATGGTTCACGCTTGACTGCCAGCATTGGTAGTGCCAAATTCTTGAGTGATGGTGATGAACTGGTCAAAGAACTCCAATGTACTGCTGACTCAAGTGTTGTTTTTTCACCTCGGCATTTGGATCCCTCATCATCTAGCATTATCCAGGACAACAATATTGATGCTGATGCTCGGCGATTTGTCAGCCTCCGAACTCTCTCAGTTGGGAGACCTGATTTTCATGCAGACTCATTGGCTGGAAATGTTTCTTTGCATGGGAAAGAAAAGAAGAAAGGCAAAGAAAAAAGACGGAAGCGAGAAGAACATAAAGGGCACAATGATGATCCAGAATATTTGGAAAGAAAACGATTGAAGAAAGAGAAAAAGCGCAAGGAAAAAGAGATGGCAAAACTGCTGGGTCATGAAGCGAACAAATCTTTGGTTGAATTTTCTAGTAAGAAAGAACCACCTGAGACTGAATTTGCTACACAAGAACTGAAAGCGATTGAACCTAGTGTATCTAAAGCAGAAGTCAGAAGGGTTGATACAAAGCCGGAAGCATCAGAAGGTACTTCTGCTGCACCAAAATTTCGAATCAAAATTAAAAATCGAGTTCTTAGTAAGTCGTAGAAAATTCAAATTGCCTATGTATTCAATAGGAAATATTAGAATGAAAGTCAAAAGTTCCCTTATATTTTTTGGGTTATAATTATTGTCACATCCGGCGTGGTAGGTGAAGAGACAACACGGATACAGGTACTAATTGTTGATTCTATGAGCTTTACTTGTTGATTGTCCTTTCACCTAGTTGTATTATGTAGATATAATATGATTGCAAAACATCATCATAGTATTCAAACTTCAATCAATGGATAGGATCTTGTTTTTCCAGTGTACCTTTATCCTGTTTCTGTATAGTTAGGACATGTTCACGATTGAGTTAGTTATTATGTATAATGTTAATGTGTATTGTTCTCTCGAATGGCTTGGATATAATATCAAAGTGGTTATTAAATTCCTAGGTGACAAATACTTCTCCTTTCACTTTGGGTCCAACGCTACTAGATTTATTACAAATTTACCATGTTCTGCAGATGTTTTCTGAATATTAATTGAACTCTTGATTAAAAGATTAGACTACTTACAAGTTTTTCTATCTGCTTCTTTAGGGTTCTCTCCTTTGTTATTTTTGGGCCAAGTTTCTTGAGGTTCATAAAGCATGTTGCCCTCCCTTGCTTGTCATGCCGGTATTAGTAAGTTCAAAAAACTAGTTCTAATTAAATTAAGAGTTAAGAGTTATTTTTATCTTTAAATTGTGCACGAAAGGTTACAAATACTTTTAAATTCAACTATAAGTCAATTTAGGATAATGATAGAGGAAATCTTTAAAGTTGAGAGACAGAATTGACTCAAAGTTGAGTTTAGAGATATTTGTGATCTTTTGTATACAAGTTAAGATTTTTAACCTTTAAATTAATGTTTTAAAATTTTTTTAATGTGTTTTGCATGTGGCTCTGAACTATTTAAATAAAAAAAAATGGTTATACTTAAATTAATGTTTTAAAACTTCTACATGTGTTTGTATGTGAGTGTTAATTATTTAAATAAAAAAGATTAAAAAATAATAACAAAAAAATATTTAAAATTTATGTTAGAGAAAAGATTGGGAAAATTATTTATTTGACTCTTCAAGTTTTAAGTTTGATTCATCAAGACTCAGTCTTTGAGATTTCATTTGTTTAATGATTTTGTCCATGATGTTAGTGATTATTTCACAATGGCCACTGGCTTCTCTTTTCACGATCGCAAACCCCAAATTGCTTCAATCACTCTCAACACCAAATTCTATTGTCTTTTTGTTTTTTTTTTCTCTCTTTTGATGGTTCATTTTCCCTAGACTTCATTTCTCTCTTGTATTTTTCCTTTTCAAACATGTTTTTTTCATTTTTTTTTGTCATTTCATTTTTCTATATATATGATGTGGTCATTTTTTTTTAAATATGATGTAATGCTTGACATATTTGTAACACAAAAGTACAGTCTGTTAGAAATGACAACACAGCCAAAGGGGGTGAACTGAGTATTTATAGAATTTTTGATTCTTTTAAAAGATTTTTCAGTAAAATCATATGCAAGAGAAAGTTTAAGTAAATTCAAGTTTTAAGCTATGATTGTAAAAATGTTAAAGTAATTTTCACAAGCTCAATAAATGTAAAATTAATTTCTAAGTAAAAGTTTAAGTAAGAGCAAGTAAATATATCAAATTTAATTTTGTGCATTAAACATAGCACAAATTAAGGTTGTTGAAAATATAAAGAGTTACGGAAAGAGAGAATGCAAACTATGATTTATCCTAGTTCAACTCCACCATTTAACCATACGTCTAATCCCCAAGCAATAACTTGAAATTTATTCACTATGGCACAAGCTTAAGTGGGTGTTTGCCACTATAGTACATTCACAAATTTAGTTCAGACACTTGTGAACCATTATAACAACTCATTTTATTAATAAGCTTCTTTTTTCAAGAGAATAACATCTTTTAATTACAAAGAAAATCTCTCCCTCACTTTTATAAAGATTTTGAGTACATAAATCACTCAATTGAAACTCTTTCTAAGAGCAATGTTTAGTTCAATGAAACTCTAACATTCAAATGATGAAGATATAAATAATATTGGCTTAAGAACAATGATTTTCATAAAATAAGAGTAATATGAACATGAACTTCATAACTTGATGATTTTTAAGCTTAATCGTCTTGCTAAAATAAGTTTATAGTGTTAAATTTATAGCTTATGGAGTGAAATATATGTTTGAGACATAATATGAATGTTCATAATCGTTGCACAGTGATTATAGTCATTGGTGACATTTTAAGTGTGGAACAAAACTCATTCATGCGTGAAATGGACATTTCACATGCACAGGTGACAAATCACATGTGGATAGGTGACAAATCACACTTGAAACCTCATGTGATATTGCACAGGTGATAAATCACACATGAGCATATTACAAATCATGCTTGAATTAGTTCATATAAGCTATTCAGTGAAAAACAAAGCTCTGGAGGTTATTTCACACATAGATAAAAAGTGATTCAAACTTGAATTGGATCACAGAAGTTATTGAGTGAAAATAAAGCCTCTAGGTAACGTTTCACGCATGAATAGGAAGTCATTCACACTTGAGCTGCACACTCAAGCATTTTAAGGACAATTTACGTGTGTGCACCAGTTTCATTCATGCGTGTTTTGGAGGGCTCCACTACATAAAACTTCATAAGGCTATAACTCACTCAATACAATTCTAAATTTAACAAATTATGTATCTTTGAAAAGCTCTTGAAGTCTAGTTTTCAATAAAAAAAATTTACACTTAAATTCAATGTATCTTTTGAGATATGATCAAAAGAGTGAACAAAGGTCAACTCTAAATATTGTGTAGAATCAATATCACAACACTCAACTTCTAAAATTCATATCTTTCTCAATAGAACTTCATTTTAAATAAATAAACTATCATTGAAAATCTGTTGGAGTCTATTTTCAAATAAGATATGTTTTACATTAAAATAATCTATGTAGTGAGAGATATGATAAGAAACATGACCAAAGGTTAAATCTAATTTTCTACACAATTCCCATTTTAAAGCTTAAACTTTAAGTGTTCGTAACTTTTTCAACTTAACTCCTTTTTGAATAAATAGAATAATTTTGAAAATGTTATGAAGTTAGTAATCAAAACATTTCAAACCTTGTGAGATATATATGATCAAGGATTAAAAATATGATTGTAGAAAAATATATCTCAATCTTGTTTTTAATAGCTAAAATGCATGTTTTTTTTTAAAATATCTTGAACCAATATTGTATATTTAAATCAATGAGTTTGACATAAAGACTTTTAGTCTAATGATATTATACTTATCAAGTTTAAGGCTTTCAAGGTGTATTCAAGTTTGGATAAATACCATCATTCTTCTTAAGCTCTTCTAAGATCATCTTTCTCTTTATCTTTATGTTCTTCAATCATGAGTGTAGCATGCAAATGATGACTTTAACTTTCTTCCTCTTCGTGCTTACTTTCATCTTCACTTTAGACGACATTAAATAATATATTATGAATAAAATAGTTAGTCCAAGTATCAACATGCATATATCCAAATTATAAAAGATAATACTATGAATACTCTTGGATATAAAATGAAGTTAAGATAAGAAAAAATATGATAGTATAACCTAACTTTGATGTACACAAATGATTTTTTCAAATCTCATGTAATATAAAACAATATAAGTAAAAATGCTTTAAAGCACTTATTTCATAATCATAGTTAATTACTATATATATGAAAACAATTAGGTATAAGTATAGTTAACTCATCTATATTTGTCATCATCAAAATTTAAGCTAAACATAATATCAAAAGTCTTAAATTATTAAATAGATGATGCCTTAAATTAAAAAAAAAAACTAACTAGTAGGTTGACTAGATTCTATGTTTTCATTGTGGAAGTCATTAATTTTAAAAGGATTAAAGGGTAAAAATATCAATGATTTTTTTTCGCTAGGGTACCCAATAACCTTAAATGAAGGGCAGTACAAGAGTGTCCATAACATTGATAAAGTAGGTACAAAAATGTCTAAACTATTAAATTTGACTAACCTCCCTTAACGTTGATCAAAGAAGTAAATATAAGGTGTAAAAATACCCAAAAATTTTGTATATAAGCTTTTGATATCATTAAGTCAATAATGATATATGGGTATACATTGGTTTTATAAAAAATGTCATATGGCCAAGCTTGACCCTAACAACTTGAGCTTTGAAACTTATTCAAGATGGCCTAAATACCTAGATTCTAAATTATTATTTTATTTCTTTTTTAGTCAATTTTAATTTTGGAAAAATGACAATAATATCCCTTCGGATTATATAAATAACAATTTAATCCCTCAAAATGCCATAATATCAATGAAATTCTTAAAAAAAATTTTGTCATTTAGGAATTAATATAAATGATTAAATTACCCTTAGTTCAAATATCAATTACCATTCACAAGTTTTGTTCTAATATTCACAATTTTTTTTCTTAAAATTACAAGAATTCAATATTAATTCACAAGTTTGCATTTGAAATTCTAATATTCCTCAAATGTTGCAAATATCAATTACCATTCATAAGTTTTGTTTTAAGATTCACAACTTTTCTTCTTAAAATTGCAAAAATGTAACAGCAATTCACAAGTTCGTATTTGAAATCATGGACTAAGGGCAATTTGGTCATTTATATTAATTCCTTAATGATGAAAAAGTCCCTAGAGACTTCATTGGTATTATGGCATTTTGAGAGACTAAATTATCATTTACATAATTTGAAGGGATTTTATTGTCATTTTTCCTTTAATTTTTATCTTCAAAATGAAGTTTTTCAATTTTTATCTAATTTAAATTTTATTTTCTTAACAATAAAAGAGAATCTGGATATTCAAATTAAGCTCATTGGGGTTTAGATTTGGCTCAAATTTTTTTTGACTTATTTAAGCGGCTTGAATAAGCTTAAAGTAAAGAAAAATTTCTAAATTCCTAAGTTCGATACTAAGATTTTTTAGACTTATTCAAACTGGTACGTCAAGTTTGACCCAAATTACCTATTCTATCCTTTCCTAATTCATTAAAATAACTTGATCTTGATCATGAAGTTTTTAAAATAAAACTTAACGGATTGAGGAAGGTTAGCCTATTTTATAAAATGGGTTGAAAGTCATTTTTACTCCTTAACTATATGTGTAACACACCAAAAATTTTTTTTTTAAATAATTTAACTCAACCATAGTTGGGTTACAGCCACCCAACACATTTTTATATCAATAATTTCGATATAAAATA